CCTATTACAGCAGATTAGGTCAAGAGCCAAAAGTTTCCCACCCTACTTTAATAGCTAATAGTGGCCATTCAACCAGTGACATGTATATTTTATTAATATTATCTTCAGATGAGAAATGTGAGTTTTGGATGAAGAAGAGGAAAGTTTTGCTGCCATAGGTATTTTTTGAGAGCAGACTGCCTTTAACTACTGAGTCTGCACCTACAGTTGGTATACCCATGAAGCCTGTGTCAGTGATGCTCTGATTTGCAGAACTAGCCTGGAAGGCATTTCTGTGTTCCATAATTTGTTTATGCATTCCAGAGTGGGTTTCTTTTTTTAACACAGCTTCATAGATGTTCTAGTATAAAAGTTGCTGAGCCTGTGCCTTTGCAGCTGATCATTAGGAGCTGATGAGGGATATGCCTATTCTAATTTCATGAGGTACAGATCTGAAATCTCATTTATCAGGTAGCATTTAGCTCATATCATTTCCAGATTTTCTTAATGTCCAGGGTAAATTTTATTGCATTACAAGGAAGATAGACTGGAGAGATTTTGACTCATGGTACAATATAAATGCACATCTTTTTATCCCACAACAGGTGCAGGTTGCTTCAGATGAGACAGTCAAGAGATGGTAAAATGGCTAGAATTATAACAAGATGTGGGTTATCTGATGCAGACAACTGCTCATTCCTGGCAATCACATCTCAAAAATGGAAGATCCCAGGGACTTTGGGAGTTAGGCTTCATCCAGATTGGCTAATTGCCAGAGGATGTTAGGATTTAAGTGCCTATAAAGTGACTAGTTACAGCAATTAATACAAATATTAATTAATGGATATTAATAATAAAATCTAAAATCATCTAAATCTTACTAAAATCTATCCTGCCTCATGCAGGATATTAACGTGTGGGGCAGGATAGATTAAAGGGTCTGAAGTAACATGCAGACTAGCAAAGATTTGGGGAATGAAATGACTGATTGACCAGCTTGTCCCTCAAGTGTTCATGGTAGGCTTTGCTCTTGACTTGCAATCCAATGCATTAGGCCCATCCTCTTTACCACAAAAAATTTAAGCGGAACAGAAATTTCAGTACCGTTGTGCTTGCTATCAGTCCCTCTGCTTTGATCACTAGTGTGTGCATGCCTTTCACTTCTCCAGCAAACACTATTCTTTTATCCGATTAAATATAGATACAGGTAAAATAGCAAAATGTATTTTGCATATAATGTGACAATATAATCAAATTTTAAAACTACTGCTACCTTGACTTTGTACCACTTGTATACCAAGTATGTGTGAGCTGGCCTGGGGCCTTCCAGATAAATCTCATAAGTGGAGATCTTCTGATAAAAGGTACTATATATGCAAAGCACTTTTTACACATTCATTAACTACTGCTGGAAACTTTGCCACTGGCCAAATTCTTTTCCTTTCTCCCTCAGGTCCCTAACAACACTAAGTTAATGATTATTCTGTGCAAACATTTTCTAATTGGTGCATCGTGGGTTCTCTGAACGCAAAGAAAGCTTTGAGGGGTTCTACCTCCCCAAGCAAATTTAACTGGAATTACATTGTTCAGCTATTGTTTTGGATAGATAATTTGCACTCACCAATGGTTTGGGAAGCCATTATCCTACCCATCTGTAAAATGGGGCATAATCTGGCCTCTGATAATAATCAAGAAAATGCTACCTGCTTATTTTAGATATGGCAGACATTATGCTGAAGTAACCACATATCCAGTAGCCATATAGTAAGCAGGCCAGAAGAAACTTACTAAAATGTCATTATAACCAAGTAACCTTTTCTATGATTTCAGTTTACAATTTTGTATTCATGTCTATATGTCCTGATGCGCTAGAAAGAGGCATGCAATGGAGAGAGACCAGGTATATTTTGTTTAGGTTTGTTTTATTTTGGAATGAATCAGATGCTGCCAAATTTTACTTAGTGAACCTGAGTGGATTTGGGTGAAATGGGATCTAGGCTTCTCATTGCATTTTTTTAGAACTCTAAACCTCCCTGGGTCATCTGGAGTTGGGTGGTCCCTACATTTATTTAATTAATTAAATTCAATTGTTTAATTTAAAATTGATGAATTTTGGTTACTGTTAATGGATTAAATTGCTTAATATAAACAATCAACTTTAATTTAGTTGGCTGATTTAATTATTAATTTAATTTAGTTGGCTGATTTAAAGTTGATTTAATCAATTTTAAAATATTTATTTAAAGTTTATTATTTTTCAACAAAGTGAAATGAAATTTTCAGGTATGGTAGATTCTTCTGGCTTGTTGGAGATGGCATTTGCCCTATTTCAGAGAAGTAGATGGAGGTGTTTTGAGATGTTTCCTAGATGTTTTCTAAAAGCTAGATAGGTAGAGGTATCTGCAAAGGGGGGTCAAGGAGGGTCAGATGATTAAAGTGTTGCACCATTACAATGCAAGCTCTGGCATTTTTGTCTACATTTGTGATGTTGCACAAACATACAAAAGGAGTGCAGCTTGTCTCACAATGGCACAATGTTACTTTTTTCATTTTAACAAAAGTCTCTGATCCTACAGATCTCATGTAAGAAAAGGGTTGCAGTTTTGTTACTTTTTATATATAATTGGGTTATATTTGCAACTCCTGATGACTACATGGTCAAGTCCATGAATTTTCTTGGCAAGATTTTTGGAAGTGGTTTGCCATTGCCTTCTTCCTAGGACTGAGAGAGAGTATCTGGCTCAAGGTCACCCAGCTGGCTTTGTGCCTAAGGTGAGACTAAGCTTGGATTTTCCCTCTCTTGTTCAGTACCTTAACTGCTCAACCAAAGTGACTCTCACATACTGTCAGCCCCGCCAGGAAGGCCAGACCATGACTCAATTCCACAGGAAGGTTAAGGCTACTTTATTGAGAGTGACTGTAATAACAGAATCTTGCAAGTTTGATTGTGCTGTACCTCCTCCCCTTCTTACATTCATGTGAATTAGGGAGGTTCTGTCTGACCCTTCCACATATTTTCCACTTGTTTTTCTCCTCGTTGCTTTGGTAATGGATCTTGCCTATCTCTGTGAATCAACTTCCTTACTCTCTATGCATACTATATGCAGGCATAATGCACCTTCTGTGGAATTCAGCTTTGCCAAGTTTCTGGAATACTTAGGGGGTATTTGATTGGAGATGATGCCTTAAGTTTTTCTCATTTCATTTCCACTCTCTAAATAAAGTTAAAAGTAGTGGATTTTTTTCCCAGACCAGTGGCTACCTTTCTATTGCATTCAGAAGCATCACATTACAACAAAG